GGTTCTGGCTACTTGAAGGGCTGAGGTGGAAGGATCACTGAAGCCTAGCAGGTCGATGCTGAGGTGGCCATGAGCGTGCCACTGCACTCCAGCCTGGATGACGGAGTGAGACTCCAACTCAAAAAAAAAAAAAATTATACACTCTCTAAATCTTAGCTTCATCTATAAAAGGGTAATAACTTATTTCTCAAGGTTAGTATGCATATTAAATGAGATAAAAGTTCTGCACACTATAAAACAATATGCAAAATTAAGGCATTATAATAGCCTAAGACAGCTAGCTAAACGACAAGAGATCACATACTAACATGATAATACACTACAGATTTGGGAATCTTAATACACTACAGATATGGGAATCTTCCACATTGAAGTAAGAGTTGACTTAAATTCGTTCCTTAAACCTTTTTAAAGCCTTAGAATTCATCTTTTAAAATCAAAATGTTTTTCTCAAATTTTTTATGAATATTGAAGTTTTACATTTATAGAAATGAACTTCCACACATAAAATACAGTCATTTTTCTACACGTTGTTCAAACTTAAACATAAGACAGAAAAAGACCCAGTAATATTATCCCCTAGAATTTGAACTGCTAAGTAAATTATTTCAACATTTTAAAAAGCCAGCCTCTACAGAGATAAATCTAGCAAGTTTCAAACGTTTTCTCTGAGAAGTTACTTGCTTGATACAAAGCACAAAACTCCAAATGGTGCTTCCCTCCGCCCCCATTTCTAGTACGTTACTTATGCTTAATAATAAACATCTCTAGATACAGTACCTATTAAAACCAGGCAGTAAGCTTCTAAAGGGCAAGAAACATGTCTTTTAGTTGTCCTTCCCATAAGAACCACCAAGCACCATGCTGGTCCACATACAGTGTTAATCCACATACATGTTAAGGAATACTCTAGCTAACTCATGTGATAGATGCTCTATTAACAATTTAAGAGTTACTACTCGTGTCATGTTATGTAATTTCAGCTTATCAAGAGGCAACCAATAAGAAATTAAGAAAAAAGCTTCCCAAATATTAATACAGAAAATCATGTTAACAATTATATAAAGAATGTTTTAACTAGATTAATATTTGAAAATCATATACTGTATTGTTCCTTCAAAAAAGACTATGCGATGAGAAACTATAGCTCGTATAAAGTGACATTAAAAAGAAAAACTACTTTCTTAAAATAGTTCATAAATTAAAGCATACTGCTACTATTTGTTCATATTTATACCCTGTGCCCAGAATGTTATGTTTCTTATAGATCTCAACCCTTCAATTTCATTCATTACAATTTTTTTTGGGGGGGGGAAGTGTTGTGTTTTGTTTTTTAACCTTTGAGGCAGAAAAAGTTAAAGCTGACATGTTAAGTATACGCTTTCTTGAAAGTGCAAACACTGACTAACCTCTAAGCTAATCACAAGATAAAAGTCTTAAAATTAAAACCTTCACTACAAAAAAGAAACCCTAAGAAGACTAAGCCTGAAATACACTAAATTCTTGCCTTTATATAGATCAATAAGAAAAACTGTATCCATAAGTTTCCCTCTTTTGCACACAGACCTAAGATTTAAAATATATACAATAAGTACATTTTGTAGGTGTATGTATACATATGTAGTGATTGGGAAGCAAGACATCAAATTAATTTAGGGGACTTTTCTCGCCTAAATTACAAAAAAAGAAAATTGTTGCCAAAGTACTGCCTTTTAAAATTATAATTTGTGAACTAAAAGACATAATACTAAAGGGAAATTCCAGAGTACAAGCATCTGCCAACCAAGGTGTCTGAAATTCATCAACTGCAGAGATTTAAAAGCATCTTTCAGTTGTTTCTATGTAAAACAAAGATACAAGTACTAAATATAATTCAATGTGCCCAATTACCTAACATTCCTCTCTATCATTTCAAAGGCCACTACCTACAGTCTTAATTGCAATTAGATATCATACAAAATGCACCTAATACAGTGCTTTTCTTATCTAAACACTTAAAGATACAGTTTTAATTTTTTTTTTTTTTTTTTTTTTTTTTGAGTCAGGTTCTCTTTCACCCAGGCTGGCGTGCGGGGCACCATTACAGCTCACCACAGCCTCTACCTCCCAGGCCCAGGTGATTCTTTAATCTCAGCCTTCCAGAGTAGCTGGAGGTTCTACTTATAGAGACGAGGTCTCGCAATGTTGCCTAGGCTGGTCTCAAACTCCTGAGTTCAAGCAATCCTCCCACCTTGACCTCCCAAAGTGTTGGGATTACAGGTGTGAGCCACTGTGCCTGGCCCACAGTTTGAATTTTAAAAGTTTTTCACTCTACAAAATGATTCACCACAGGATTCTCTTAAATAATCAGCTTCTCTAGAATCGTTCTGTTTATAAAGAACTCAATTTTTCTGCTTATAAAAATGTCGTTTTCTCACAATGTTTCAAGAACCCATTTAATATGTAAAAGGAGATACACACGTACACTTCCTTGAGGATAAATAAATGCTTTCAATACTTGTGACCCCAGAAGAACTTAACATGTTTTGAATTCTTGTTTGGTTAAAAAAAAGTTTTTAAACATCTACTGCAGTGCAAGTGCTTGACTTTATATTCATGGCTCTCCTGATGATAAAATAAAGATCAATGTAACTCTAAGCTCTAGGCTAATTAACTGCAGAAAACAGAAACAAGCAATTTGGCAAGAGCTGAGCAAAGCTCTGCTTAAAGGCTACCAGTAAAATATACCAGCACTACCCCTCCCCCACCCCTTTAAGGTTTCAATTAAGATGGGGCCTAGTTTTACTCTTACAAGGGGGCAGAAGAGAAAGCACAGAGCTCCTGCTGAGAAGTATCTTCACCAGGAGCAGCTCCAGAAACAGCCAGGAACCATTTCCTTCCCTCTCTGCTGACATAGGTTCCTCTCTTTAGAGACAGGCATATCTCCCCGTCTCCTGATTAACACCGAGCTAAAGACAGGAAAAGTCTCTTCACATACCACCCAAAGGATGGCATTCAATGAATTTCTTAGAAATCCAATATTAGGGTTAGCAATGATGCTCTTTATAAAAAGTGGGAGCCCCAACTGCAATTCATCTCTCAGTCTCTCACATCAGTTGCCTCATGAATTGGTTAAAAGGGATACAGCTATTTAACAAAGCATATCCAATGTTTCAAAATACATTTAAGTGCTCCAAAAGGCGAAAAAGACTCCCTCAAAACACTTCGGAAAGATGAAGCTTTAGCAAGGCCCCCAGAAGGCCAGAACCAACAGGAGAGAAAAGCGAGTAGTGATCTTACCATCTCTCCAGGTCAAGGAGTCAACACAGTACAGACACCACAGTTCCACTCCTAAACGGGCACTCAATTTTTATCCTAGTATTGATCACCCCTTTAGTGGACATACAGGATAAGTTTTTTAGTCCAATCTGAACTAGTGAATAAACTGAGGCATGAGGCTAAAAAAGAACCAGCGAAAAGTTGACGCCTCTCTAAAAGGAGCCCAAGAATGAAAGAACTTCACTATGCAAGGAATTGTAAGACATCAAAGGTTAGATAATGGACAACAGGTGCCTTTGAGGAAGAAACAGTAACACTCAGTTGCCTCCTATTTTAGGATTTCCACTCTCAAAGCACTCAAATAACGACTTCTCTTCCCAAGAAAAAGTCAAGGCCAAAATTATGGATTTTACTATTTAATACCTATGATGGGTCCATTGCTCTTTGACTTACTTTTTTACTTTAGATTTAAAAACTCCATCTAACTCCAACACTGCCTGGACAGACTAGAGTGTGGCCTACGGCCAGACTGTTCACTGAGCAGCGAACATTAACCAACTAGGGATTACCAAGAAACGCAAAAGAAAGGTGTCTGAATACACGCTACCTGCACATAAAATACTCAAAATACAACTCTAGCAGCAGATATCACATTACCGCAGTGTCCGCCAACGCAGAAACTGTTTCAACATTGTAACAGTGGAGCTCAATCTTTACAGTAACCAGATTCCAAAGGCCTCAAAGAATAGTAGTAATTCCAAACACAGGTTACAGGGCACAGAGTATCAGCCTGGAGTTCTGATCCCCCGAGCCAGAATACCACCTTTTGTTTGTTGAGTGAAAAGGGGAACGCTGAAAAGACACTTCAGCCTATTTAATAACCTCTTCCCTTTTCTCCATTCCACAGAGACATCTTCCAAAAATGGAGAATCCGTTCTTTCCCTGATAGAGGCCCCCTTTCCTATAGATCCACTGGGCAGAATCACTTCTCCCCAGCACGCCTGCAGAGCCAGAAAACACTTCTGCTTTCAATCTCAAAAGAGGGTCCCCCAACACAGACGCGCCTCTTCCTCTCCCGTATTAAGCAAATGATGCTTCGGTGCTTCTGGTTCTCTCCATCACCGAAAAATGTTCAGACAAGGGGAGGGAGTGAAGGGAACTTGTCAGTTGCTCTGAGGGATACTCAAAAGGGGTCTCCAAATTTAAAGTGAAGACCGGGGGTGGGGAGAGTACCCCTTCCTGAGAAGGGAATGCGGGTCCCTACCCTAAAGGGGAGCCTCTGTGTGGGTAAAGGCTGTCCCCACCCTGAAAGAGAGCTCGGTATGTGGGAGGGGGGGCATGCTGTACCCAGAAGAGGGGCCTGCATTTGAAGGAGGAGGGTCCCAACCCTGAAGGGGGGCCGGAGGGGGCGAGAGAGCCGTGACCGCACGGGGAGGGCTGTACCAGCTCCTGGGGGCCTCCCTGAGAGCGAAGGGGTTCCCACTTTGGGGAAGGAAGGGCCCGCAGGGCAAGGGGCTCTAGGAGGAGACGAGGGTCTGGCTCCGACCAGGAGGGCTGGGCATGGGGGGAGGGGCTCCTAGTCCCCTCCGGAGTCCGCGGAGGGGCGGCAGGCTCGAAGGGAACATGTGCGGCGGGACTGCCGCCACCCCGAGGGGCAGGGTGGAGGGCAGGGCCTGGGCCGTGCGGGGGGGACAAGGCTCCCACCCTGCGCAGGAGAGGCAGGACTCCCCAGCAGGACTCACCGAGGCTGCCGGCGAAACCGTCCATCTTGCGGGGAAAGCGCCGGGCTCGGGGCTCAGCGGGGCGGGCACTTCATTCAGCGGACCGACAGAGTGGCCGACGCAGAGCCTGACCCGCTCGCTCTCGGGGCCGCTCGGCCGGGGGCCCCCGGCTCCCCGCCTCCGTCGCCCGTCCGTCCGCCTGCCCCGGGGGTAGTCGGTCGCGGCCGCCCGTGCCACTCTCCCGTCAGGTTAAGAGCCGCGCCGCTGCGCCGCCTGCCCTGCCTCCCTCCCAGGCAGCAGCCGCGAGCGCCGCGCCGCGCCCCGCCCCCGCGCCCGCGCGCCGCGCTG